AGCCTTGTTTTTCGTCAAAGCCTTGGACCTCTTCCTTCAGTACCACCGATTCTTGATCATATGGTACCTCCTGAAATGGTTGAACGTCAACCAATTCTTTTTGGTATAGTGACTCTGTGTATTCCCTCCATCTTCTTTTGATGCTTCCTGCGTTGTGTAATATTTTCCCTGTAGAATCCTTCAATATTGCCATTCGAGGTTTCAATTTTTTCTTCAGTTCTTTCAGCTTGAGAAATGCCAAGTATGTTCTTCCCTTTTGGCTTTCTAACTCCAGGTCTTTGCACATTTCATCATAATACTTTACTTTGTCTTCTTGAGCCACCCTTTGGAATCTTCTGTTCGGCTCTTTTACTTCATCATTTCTTCCTTTCGCTTTAGCTACTCTATGTTCAGGAGTAACATTCTGAGTCTCTTCTGACATCCATTTTTGTCTTTTCCTTCTTTGCTGTCTTTTTAATGACCACTTGCTTTCTTCATGTATGATGTCCTTGATGTCATTCCACAACTCATCTGGCCTTCGGTCATTAGTGTTCAATGCATCAAATCTATTCTTGAAAAGGTCTCTAAATTCAGATAGGATATGCCCAAGGTTGTACTTTGTCTCTCACGGGCTTGTTCTAATTTTCTTCAACTTCACCTTGAACTTGCATACGAGCAATTGATGGTCTGTTCCACAATCAGCCCCGGCCTTGTTCTGACAGATGACATTGAGCTTCTCCATCATCTCTTTCCACAGATGTGGTTGATTTGATTCCTGTGTATTCCATCTGGTGAGATCCACATGTATAGTCACTGTTTATGTTGTTGAAAAAGGTATTTGCAATGAAGAAGTCCTTGGTCTTGTAAAATTCTATCATTCGATCTCTGGTGTCATTTCTGTCACCAAGGCTGTATTTTCCAACTACCAATCCTTCTTTGTTTTCAACTTTTGAATTCCAATCACCAGTAATTATCAATGCATCTTGATTGCATGTTTGATCAATTTCAGACTGCAGAAGTTGGTAAAAATCTTCCATTTCTTCATCTTTGGCCTTAGTGGATGGTGTGTAAATTTGAATAATAGTCATATTAGCTGGTCTTCCTTGTAGGCGTAGGGATATTATCCTATCACTGCAGCACTGTACTTCTGGATAGATCTTGAAATGTTCTTTTTGATGATGAATGCGACACTGTTCCTCTTCAATTTGTCATTCCCGGCATAGTAGACCATGTGATTGTCTGATTCAAAATGGCCAATACCAGTCCCATTCAGCTCAGTGTTGTTGTTGTTAAGTGCTGTCGAGTCAGTTCCAACTCATAGCGACCTTATGTACAACAGAATGAAATACTGCCTGGTCCTGCGCCATCCTCACCATCGTTGTTATGCTTGAGCCCATTGTTGCAGCCACTATGTCAATACATCTCGTTGAGAGTCTTCCTCTTTTTTGCTGAACCTCTACTTTACCAAGCATGATGTCCTTCTCCAGCGTCTGGTCCCTCCTGATAACATGTCTGAAGTATCTAAGACCAAGTCTCACCATCCTCACTTCTAAGGAGAATTCTGGCTGTACTTCTTCCAAGACAGATTTGTTTATTCTTTTGGCAGTCCATGGTATATTCAATATTCTTTGCCAACACCATAATTCAAAGGCGTCAATTCTTCTTCAGTCTTCCTTATTCATCGTCCAGCTTTCGCATGCATATGAAGCGACTGAAAACACCATGGCTTGGGTCGGGCCCACCTTAGTCTTCAAAGTGACGTCTTTGCTTTTTAACATTTTGAAGAGGTCTTTTGCAACATATTTGCCCAATGCAATGCGTTGTTTGATTTCTTGACTGCTGATTCCGTGGGTGTTGATTGTGGATCCAAGTAAAATGGAATCCTTGACAACTTCAATCTTTTCTCCATTTATCATCATGTTGCTTATTGGTCCAGTTGTGAGGACTTTTGTTTTCTTTAGGTTGAGGTATAATCCATATTGAGGGATGTAGTCTTTGATCGTCATCAGTAAGTGCTTCAAGTCCTCTTCGCTTTCAGCAAGCAAGTTTGTGTCTTCTGCATAACGGAGATTGTTAATGAGTCTTCCTCCAATCGTAATGCCCCATTCTTCTTTGTATAGTGCAGCTTCTGGGATTATTTGCTCAGCATACAGATTGAATAAGTATGGTGAAAGGATACAACCCTGATGCACACTTTTTCTAACTTTAAACTATGTAGTATCCCCTTGTTCTGTTCAGCTGTCTCTTGATACATGTACAGGTTCCTCATAAGCACAATTAAGTGTTCTGAAATTCCCATTCTTCACAATGTTATCCATAATTTGTTATGATCCACATAGTTGAATGCCTTTGCATAGTCAATAAAACACAGATAAACATCTTTATGGTATTCTCTGCTTTCAGCCAGGATTCATCTGACATCAGCAATGATATCCCTGGTTCTATGTCCTCCCCTGAATCTGGTTTGAATTTCTGGCAGTTCCCTGTTGATGACCACTGCGGCCGCCTTTGAATGATCTTCAGCAAAATTTTACTTGCATGTGATATTAATTAATGATTTTGTTTGATAATTTCGGCATTCAGTTGGATAACCTTTCTTTGGAATAGGCATAAATATGGATCTCTTCCAGTCAGTTGGCCAGGTAGCTGTATTCCAAATTTCTTGGCATACACAAGTGAACACTTCCAGATGTTTGTTGAAACATCTCAGCTGGTATTCTGTCAATTCCTGGAACCATGATTTTTGCCAGTGCTTACAGCGCAGCTTGGACCTCTTCCTTCAGTACCATCGGTTCCTGATCATATGCTACCTCCTGAAATGGATGAATGCTGACCAGTTCTTTTTGGTATAGTGACTCTGTGTAGTCCTTCCATCTTCTTTTGATGCTTGCTGTGTCATTTAATAGTTTCCCTGTAGAATCCTTGAATATTGCAACTCGAGGCTTGAATTTTTTCTTCAGTTATTTCAGCTTGAGAAATGCCAAGTGTGTTCTTCCCTTTTGGTTTTCTAACTCTATCTCCCTAATGCCTAGGACATCAATGTTTATGCATTTTATTTTATTTTAACTTCCAATTTTCCTAGATTCATGCTTTGTACATTCCACATTCTGATTATTAATGGGTGTTTGCAGCTGTTTCTTCACATTTTGAGTCATGCCACATCAGCAAATGAAGATCCCAAAAGCTCGACTCCATCCACATCATTAAGATCAACTCTAGTTTGAGGAGGCAGCTCTTCCCCAGTCATATTTTGACTTCCTTCCAACCTGAGGGGCTCATCTTCCAGCGCCATTTCAGACAATGTTCCGCTATTATTCATAAGGTTTTCACTGGCCAATTTTTTCAGAAGTAGACTGCCAAGTCCTTCTTCCTAGTCTTTCTTAGTCTGGAAGCTCCACTGAAATCTACCAACCAAGGGTGACTCTGCTGGTATTTGAAATACCGGTGGCAAAGCTTCCAGTATCACAGCAACATGCATGACACCACAGTACAACAAACTAACAGACACATGGTGGACACAACTATTAGACAGCTAAAAAGACTGACCAAATCAAGTGTTGGCAAGGAGGAAATGGAACTCTCATACACTGCTGGTGGGAACATAAATGGCAAAACCACTTTCGAAAATAGTTTCTTAAAAAGTTAAACATACACCTACCATAGGATCCATTCATTCCACTCTTAGTTTTTATACTCAGGAGAAATGAAAGGGTATGTCTATAAAAGACTTGTACATGAATGTTCACAGAAGCTTTATCTGTAATAGCTAATTGGAAACAACCCGAATATCTATCAACAGCTAAATGGATACACAAAAACTATAGCCATCAGTGGAACACTATTCAGTAACAGCAAGGAATGAACTACTGATGTACACAACAACATGGATGAATCACAAATTAGGCTGAGTAAAAGAAGCTACAAAAAAAAAGACAAAAAAAGTACATATTGTATGATGACATTTATATAAAATTATGGAAAATACAAACTAATCTACCATGACAGAAAGCAAACCAATGGCTTCCTGGGGAACGGAAAGAAATGCAAAGATTGGATAAGAGAGAGAGAGATTAAAAAGGGGCATGAGGAAACTTTTAGGGGTGATAGATATGTTCATTATCTTGATTGTGGTGATAGCTTCCTGGGTATATCTATGTGTCAAAACTTATCAAATCATATACTTTAAATATGTATAGTTCATTGCATGTCAATTTTACCTCAATAAAGCTATTTTTTAAACAAGGGTTCACTGTTCTAGGATAGATGAATTGCTTGTTCTTTAGGCTATCTTTATACACATGGTTACTCTCAGCTGAGGATTTGATAAATATTCAGCATCATTCAGTAACGTTTGCTTAAAAAACATCCCATCATTCCACAGAACTAAACTTACAACTGAATGATATATTGGGTCTGTGCAGGGCCTACAGCCAACGAGGTTGATGATTGGGCTTTCAGGTTCAGAAAGCCCTATTAGGAAACCTGATAAAATGTGAGAATGTGATTGAGATGACATCTGATATGTCAGGGACATGTAGGTGATCTGGCTGCCACATAACTTCTCGGGTTGATTCTATCTGCTGAATGGGTGTGCTTTTCCTTGCTCACTGCTCCAGACACATCCTTCTAGGTACAGGGAATGGCCTTCTATGTGGAAAAGAATTGGGCCCTGGTGAGGGAAATAGATGGCTTCTCTGTAGTCACTGTCCCTTCCTCCACTTCCAGCTCACACCTGTGCCAAGCTATGGTCCCTCTGGGCATCCTGCTCCCCCTCACAATGGTGCCAGAGTAGTGCTAGGACCTGGGATGCACATGAAGCAGAGCCCATGTTCAAAGACTTACCTCGCAGTAGCACTGAGACACAGCCTTCCAGGCCTGGAGGTTTCTGAAGCCACATAACTCCAAGTTTTGAAGTGAGGAGAAGAAATTTCAAATGCAAAAGGGGCCAGGCTTCTCTAGCTTTTAATAAATAGTGGAGCTGCTGTCTACAGTCAAGCATTGTGCACTTGCTGTCTACTCACCACTCTCTTGTCCGGGACCCTCTGGGTAAACACCTTATAAAGTCTCCAGCTCTTCCCCAGAATGGGGCCAAATACCAAGGAGGTCCCAATGCACAGCATGGACAGTCTTACCTACAGGTGCAAGTGGATAGAAGCAAGAGTCATGTGAGGAATCTTTGTTGGCTTTCCACGCATTCTGATCTGCAAAGCCTCAGTCCTACAGAGAGCACAGGGTAGATATGGACCTCAGTGTCTAAGCATTCCGGAGAGCTCCTCCGAATGTGCCCACACAGAAGATAAAGGTAACCACCACCCACAGGAGCAGCCGATTTAAAAACTTGTCAAAACTTTAACATTATAATAGGACATGCAAACGAAAATTTTAAAACTTTACCTACCTGAATGAGAGTTTCCATTGAGCTTCCCACTAACACATCTTGATCTTGAATTCCAAAGAGGTAAGCACTACTGTAAGTCAGACAACTGCCCAGTAAGGTCACAATGTTCAGATTGGGACTGGACATCTTCACGATCCTAGACGCAATCAGGAAGATGGACCTTACAGCATGACCCCTTGTTTAGGGTGTGGACAGAACTTCCCCACCCCCAAAAATCTCCATCGCAACTTCAGAGAAGGACCACTGGGAAGAAACCACTTTACAGCCCTGGGTTAAAAACTTGTTATGATTTCTTTATATTTACTTTCAAAAAGAACTAAATTCTGGTACTTCTTTCTTATGTAACTCCAAGTCTTTTAAGAGAAGCCTGACTTCTTAAAAACAGGTGGTATCGGAGAAGAGTTAGGCTTTTATCCATGAGGTCTACAGTTGCTAAGGACAAATATATGCAGCTTAGTGAATAAATAACCATCAAGTAGATACCTAGAGAGACAGTTTGGAGCTTTTAGAAGTGAGCTGTAAGGTAAACTACTAGTTGGAAAAAGGTTTGGGTTTTCTTTTCATATACTTTATCATCAACTTTAGTTGATACGCAAATTGTTTTCCTCCCCTACCTGACCAAGAGAAAAAGAGGAAGCAGGGATTGACAGCAGGAAATTTGGGAAAGGTCTTTTCTCCAGTAGTTTCAAATGAGGTTAGAGAGCAGTTTAAAGACCAGAGGGAGACTTAGAAAATCAGGGTGCCAGACAAACCCTGGGCATCAACAGAGGCTCAGGGCAAGGTAGAAATGTGTGAATTGGTTAACCAAAGGGGAAAACTAGGCCTCCGTTGGACAGTGACTGGTAACAATTAAGAAGTAAAAGTAATAATTACAAAGGAATGTAATTGTATTTGAGAGTTACAGTCTAAATATTACATGCTACGCAAATGTAATATTTATACTAATAGTCATTGATAATTACACTTAATTATGCTTTTATTTTAAATAAACTGAGGAAGAACGCGTTCTTATCTGTGCCTCTTGCTTACCACACCTGCTGGTCTACCTTAAAGGCCAGAGCCAAGGCTAAACCATCCACTTGAACCCGTTGACATCGAGTCAATTCCAACTCATAGCAACCCTATAGGACAGAGCAGAACTGCCCCATAGAGTTTCCAAGGAGTGGCTGATGGATTCGAACTGCTGACCTTTTGGTCAGCAGCTGTAGCTCTTAACTACTGCAGCCTACTTTAATAACAAAGTACCAAGGAGGCATTAAACAAATGTCCCTGGCAGGGCTGAATTTGCAAACGTCATAACCACCATGGGCCCAATTTGATTACTTTGCGGCTGACATTGTAATTATGTTCTATACACAGGAACACCAAGACTCATGCCCCAAGTACGGCCACCACAGAGACTTACCCTGTCTTGGAGCAAAAATGTTGATTTTTTTCCCTTCCTCTAAAAGTGAGAACAACTTTTATGCACTCCCTCGTAAAATAACTAATAATACCCCACTCAAAGGGTTCTGGAGGTTAAGTGAGGCAATATAGTAAACTGCTTAGCTACTATGGCACCGAGTAGGCATGTCGCCAACATTAGCTGCTGATGTTATTATTGCCACCATCTTCCAGACTTTTCCTTCTTCCCTTTATCACCTATACTCAATCAACTGCCAAGTTCTTTCACTTCTTATTTCAAAATTTGTCTACGAGTTTGCTTTCAGTTTCCATTCCTGTTACCACGTTTACCCAGGATACCATCACGTTAAGGGCAATGAGTTTGGAATTGGCTGTGACAGGTCTGAATCCTGGCTCTGCCACTCATAGCTGTGTGCTTGGGGAAGTCATGTAACTCCTCTGGGCCCCTGTTTCCTCATCTGTAAAATGAGGATGATATCATCTTTCCTATCCACCCCACAGGTTATTGTGAGGGTCAAATGAGGTGTGTGCCAAAACTCTTTGCAAAATCTAAGGTGATGCAAAATATTAATTTTTAGATTTCTGGAGTAACCTTTGGCTCTCTGTAGCACCTGTTTCTCCCTGTCCTAATACTTTCTGCACTTTAGACTTACTTTTGTAAAACATCACCTTCATCACATGGCAAAAAAGCTACATATATAAATAACAATTTCTTATTGTTTACCTTATTACATCTCCCATATCCAAATTTAAGACCTAGCCCTAGCTTCTCTATCCACTTTTCATTCGGGTTTGCCACGTCTTCAAATTGTGGACTTATGGAGAGTAGTCTTCCCCAGTTTCTTTGTCTTGCCACATAAACAGGGGAATATGTGGTAAATATTAACTACAGAAAAAAGTACGATGCTAACCAGTGGCTTCACAAAGCATTTTTTTTAAAAGAAAAGTAATACCTTAACAAATGTTGAAATGTATTACAACAATTAAAAAAAAAAAAAAGTAATCACACGCGAGACCAGTGCTGATGCTGATGTAGAAAGGAGGGCACCGCTGGCCTGTGACTGGCCGCTCAGTGCAGTCAGAAGCTTGGGCAGTGACCTAACCACTGTCATTTTGGGTGGGCTCCTGAAAGCCTAGTAAGTGTGGCCAACGTACCCCATGGCACTCACAAGCTCCTTGACAGAAGCCATGGATATCTGACAGTGGCCTCCTCACCGAACAAGTGCCCAGGTTTCACGGCCGCACATCTGTGTTGTCTAGATTGCTGATGGGCAGGCCTCCTTCTCAACTCTTCTCTGGGCCCGTTTGATTTGAACAGCCCTGTATATCCAAGTCTCCTTTGAGTACTGCAGATTTAGAATTCCTCCCCTCCTGATTTAGCTTAGGACGACTCAATTTCATCATTGTATCTGACAAAATGTACATTACATAGCCTTTGTATCTGAGACACTGATGTGAGTGCGTTTTTCAAATGGACATTTTATGGACTTGCATATGCATATTTGGGTATTTTTTCTGAACAATGTTACTGAAAACTTACTCCCTCACCCCTAAAAAAAAAAAGTGAATGGTGGATGTGCTTATTTCGTTTGCCACCTGTGAAGTCGCTGGGGGGTGAATCATCACTGATTCAGCAGGTGAATTATGTACATCTGGGGAGTGTCTTTGCCACTTTGGTAGGAATTCAACCACCCATGTCATTTATATTTTTCTATTGAACTAAAAGATAAAGCTTATGCATTCTGAATACTTTAATCAACCACAAACCCACATACCTTCCACAGAGCAGTATATTATATACTTAATTATAAACAGCCATGCCATCTAGACTAGTTGTGTTACATTTATGACTAGATAAAAGCCTTGACTGGATTACTGGCAGTGAGAAACAAGGTGAGATTTTTTTAAAAAAAGGAAAAGGCTTATATAGTGATGTCATTATCTTTTCTTTTTCATTTATTGATGGGCAATGTAAGGCTCTCTTGATTTTTCCATTCTCAGGTAACGTTTCAATACATATAAATAAAGTATCTGTCTATATCTGCAGAGTCTGTATAAACCTTGATTATCATTTCAATAGTCTGTAATGAATTAAAATGCTTAAGGGACATCCACCAGCTCACAGGTAAGACATTTTAAAAATCTTTGTTGCTCCTTGGAAACTCTATGGGGCAGTTCTACTCTGTCCTACAGGGTCGCTATGAGTCAGAATCGACTTGACAGCAATGGGTTTGGTTTTTGGTTGGGTTGTCAAATGCTGGTTTCTAAACTCAGAGGTTTATTGTGTTTGGAATTATGGAGGATTGGCTGGCCATCCTGTGGTTTCTTCTCAATGATGGTTAAGGTCTCCTTCTGGTAACGTGGCTTGAGAAGGGGGCAAGAAGGTAATTCTTGGCTTGTGTGACTATTAGAAAACTTTAGTAAGATGTTACAGGGCCATGCTTTCTAGAATGCTACATGATACACATGGTGTCTTAGTCATCTAGTGGTGCTATAACAGAAATACCACAAGTGGATGGTTTTAACGAAGAGAAGTTTATATCCTCACAGTTAAAGTAGGCTAAAAGTCCAAATTCAGGGCATCAGCTCCAGGGGAAGCCTTTTTCTCTCTGTCGGCCTTCTTCTCTTCGGTGTTCCCCCGACTAGGAGCTTCTCCACGCAAGGACCCCGGACCAAAGGACGCACTCTGCTCCCGGCACTGCTTTCCTGATAGTATGAGGTGCCCCTGTCTCACTGCTAACTTCTGTCTTTTCTATCTCAAGAGATTGCCTCAGGACACAATCCAGTCTTGTAAATTGAGTCCTGCCTCACTAACACAACTGCCACCCATCCTCCCTCATTAGCATCACAGAGGCAGGATTTACAACATAGAGGAAAATCATACAATACCGGCAATCATGGCCCAGCCAAATCATACACACATTTTTTGGGGGACATAATTCAATCCATGACACATGGTATCACTGAGCTTTAACATTTTTAAAACCGTATATGAATGTCTTTCCAAAAAGCGTTTTAATAAAACAATTAAGATTTACAATGTGAACATTTATTGACTTTCTTTTTCAATCCTCTGTTTTTGATCCATGCTACAATGGGAGCATAAATTTATCTCATCTGGATAAACTCCAAACAGCTTTATCATAATGTTATCTGGTATGTTTCAGCAAATCTGACTTTTTTTTGCTATCTTGCTTATTTATAATATATTAGGTTCAAAATCTGAACCCAGTGCAAATTCTGCACACATTAAACTAATGTTTGTGTGACCTCTAACTGTTATATTCAAACTCTGTATCATAAGGGCAGGAGCCTTCGTGATGCAATGGTTAAGCTCTTGGTTGCTAATCAGAAGGTTTGAGGTTCAGACCCACCCAGCAGCTCCGTGAGAGAAAGACCTGGCGATCTGCTCCCATAAAGATTACAGCCTAGGAAACCCTATGGGGAAGTTCTACTCTGTCACATGGGGTCACTATGAGTTGAAAATTGACTTAATGGTACTTAACAACAACAACATCGTAAGAGTTAGAGCAGGCTGGGCCACCAAAATCTCACCTTGCTCTGCAATTTCACTACCTTTTCAATCTTCAGAGTTTTAAATTCTTTAATCATAATGACTTCACTTTATTCCACTTCAAACACTCTCCCAAGGGCCACTCCTGGGTCTTATCATTATTCAGAGTTGTTCCACTTCAAAATTTTTTTTTTATTGTACTTTAGGTGAAGGTTTAC